CACAGCAATGACAACAACAAAGAAAACCAATGACCCATAAAAGAATAAATTAATTAAAAGAAAGAAAAGAAAAACAATTTTAAAAAGAAAGAAAAGCCTGTAAATAGATCAAGGTCTGATTTTTGAACTCTAGGCATGTCCTCCAGTCAAGTCGGATGGGGTGCCATGCTCTGGCCCCAGAGTCTGTCCTTTGTAGTCCCTTGGGAGCTCCCTGCTCTGCCCCCCCAGTTGCTCTGCAGCATGCCTTTAGTGTTTTGCCTTGGTGTTGTGGGGTCTGTCCAGGCCAGACACTGAGTCTCCAGTGACAACATAATTTATAACCTTGACATATTCAGAACACTATACCCAACAACAAAAATAAACTTTTTTTTTTTCAGTTTAGATGAATTTTTTTTTTTAGACAACCTACATGACCTTTTTTTTTTCCTTAAAAAAAAAAAGCCTCCGTTCCAAATAAATCAAGGTCAAAAGTAAATGACCTTGATGATAACACCAGTTCCGTTTGTCTAAGTCCTGAGGCGTCATGTGGATGAACAGCAGCCGGTTAGGATGAGAGGCGATCAATTGGTCTGAGTTGCCCACAGTGTTAACATGTCTCCATCTCTCAGCCATCCTGAAAGAAGATCATATATTGGGCCACACCATCCTCACGGTAATCCAGCAGGGCAACCATGCCATCTGCATTCATGTTCTCACCAAGAAAGAACTGGTAGTTTTGAAATTTGCAAGGATGTGCTTATTTGTTCTACAGCCCCTGTCATAAAAGGCTTTACTTGTGAGGGAAGGCCAGCCCCCCACAACTAATCGCGGGTTCGAAAGGTGCAATTGTACAGTTAAAAAAATATATAATAAAGTCATAGAGAATAAGGAGAGATGAAAGAGATTGAAATAATGGAGTCAAGACACATTTCATGGTAGCATGCTCACCTCAGCCCAGCAAGGTGATCCAAGTGGAGATGGGAGAAGAGAGGGCAGGAGAGAGGGGGAGGGGAAGGAGGACAAGGGGAAATGGAACAGGTCAAGTAAGGGATCAGGAACCAGGGGAGAGTGCCACAGTGAGAGGGAGGGGAGGGAGAGAGGGCTCTTTATTGCTAACTAAGGCTTATATATCTTTTGGGGGTGTGCAAGCCCCCTGATTACAGGTAAAGACATACGTCACAGGAAGGGGTTGTACTATAGGTTATACAGCAATGAGAGGGGGACAATCTAGGGATATACCTGCAATAGGAAGGGGGGAGAATTAGGGGCACACATGTGACAAGATGGGGGGGATCCTAGATTCAGGATGGCACCCTAACTTTGGATGTCATTGAGCAGGTTTTACCTCTTCTCTGGCTCTCCATAGAAACCATTATCAGTAGGGTGTGAACCCCACCTACAGGGACCAGATGCCTTCAGGGAGAAAATCTCTAAGCATCTGACCTCCCACCATGTGCTGGCAAACAGCCTCTAATGTTTGGCATATCTTTGGGGGAGACAAAGCTGGGGAAAAGTCTTTTTAAATCCCACATTTACTCTTTCTAGTTTCTGCTCTCCAAGTTTACCTTTGGTTGATTTCACGTAGTCTTTGATTGATGTACTTCTTGTAGGCTTCTTTTGTGAAGCTGTTTCCTGCTAGTGATGGTTCGTGACAATATCAACACGTGACAATATCAACACGTGACCACTGTGCTTTCTGTTCCATCGCCATCGGAGCCTTCAGCTGAGGCACTGCCACAGATGTTACCTCCGGCCCTACAGACTATCCTCCCCTCCACTTCCAGACACAGCCCATCTGCGATCTCCCGGATCTTGCAGATGTCGATCATCTGATCATGGCAGATGAGGTCCCCGTAGATGATCGTGATGGCAGCTAAGAGGGAGACAGCCGTGGTGCTAGCTTAGGAGGAGCCCGGAGCTCTGAGATGAGCGGTGCTCAGGCTGGGAGAGGGGAGGGGGCGGAAAAGCCTTAATGCGTTTTAAAATATTGAAATGCTACAATCCACTTTTTCAGACAAGAACTATATAGAATTAGTACACAATAATACTCATTCTTGACAGCAGAGCCATGCCTACTAGATTAAGACATGTCATAATGAAGCAAGGCATTAAAATAGTTAAGTACATTCTAGTTCCAGGCCACCATTCGTTGGTGATCAAGGAGGGAAAAAAATGTGGACCCTGAAGAACACCATCTACTTCACTAAACATCAGCAAATGAAAAACTCTGCTCATGGCTATTTTTTACATGGATAGTATATACATAGGAGATTCTCTAGAAATAGAAATCTTAGGTACAGGGCTTGCACATTTGTCATTTTCATAAGGTTATGTAAATTTCCTCCTTAAAAGTTACAACAATCTTCTCCTCTACGAGCAGTATGGGAGCCTACAAAGTTTCCTCTCACCTTCTGGAATATATTGTGCTACTACATCTTTGAGCTTTTATTGATATGCTGAGCAAAAACAATGACATCTTGGTCTATTTTAACTTTTATTTCTCTTACTATAAATAAGAAAGGGCACTTTTCAGATATTTGAGTCATTTATATGGACTTCCTAGTCTCTTTAACTTTGCCCACTTTTTATTAAGCTGTTGGTCTTTCTCCTACATAGACACACACATGTGCATTTTGTGCGTCTATAATAGATCAGCATATTCCTCATTTCTCCCTGGGTTCCCTATTTCCATTTGTCCAGTTTCCCTGTTCTTCCCTGAAGTTCATCTCTGTTTTGAGGGCAAATGTTGCTTTTTTGGTCTTGTAGAGTTGAGTTGAGATGGCTCCAAGCCTCCAAGATGGCTTCTGACCCCAGTTGAGATGGTAGATTTGGGGCAATAGCTAAGACGCAGTTCCTTCTTACCTATTTATAGACACTGTGTAGACATACAGGAGACTTAGTGGGATGGTTGGATATGAGTTGGGCTGCTAACCACAAGCCAGTAGTTGGAACCAACCAGCTGCTCCAGGGGAAAAAGATGAGACTTTTTGTTCCTGTAAAGATTTACAGCCTTGGAAAGAACAGGGGCAGGGCTATCCTGTCCTACAAGGTAGCAGCGAGTTTAGTTGGAGTTGGATCTTGACCTATTTGTGCTATGGGTTGAGAAGAGTTTTTAGCTGGGAAAGGATGGCAGAGGGACAGGCCACTAGTAAAACAGCCACACGAACATGGTTACTAACCCAGCTCAGCATTCAGCTTTCCCAGATTCCTATTATTCCTCCTCTTCCTCCTCCCCTCCCCCTCCTCCCCTCTGCCTCCAGGACAGCACCAGGTGGCCTCCTCTTTCTGCTATCACTCCTCTCCAGACCTTCCAGCACCACTGTTCCACCGTAATTTGGCCAAAAATGTGAAAACAAAAAAAAAATCTAGATTTGGGGGAGGAGACAATGAATCCCAATTCTGGCTAGACAAAGCCCCTCTGTGCTTTCTCAGGTGGAACCACAGCTGAACATAATCAGCTTGGGTTGAGGGTCCAAGGTCACAAGCTCCACCAACTGTTTCTAGCACCAGCCTTCAAAGGGAATGCTCCTAAGTGCAGTTTACTGTGGGGACTGGTGACTGACCCTCTTTGGGAGGTGCGTGGTGACTCACCCTCTTTGTGTAGGTGCGTGGCCTCTCCCGACCCCAGAAGGTACTTCGAGTACTGAGCGTGGAGGTTGGGGTTCTCTCTGTTCAGGACAGCAGGAGAGAAAAAGTGGTGGTGAGGTCTTTGGGTGGGAGAGGGCAGAGGGGGGTCTCCAGGGTTAGGGACCGAAGACCTGGAATCCAGTCCTGCTATAAGGATGTCTGAGACAGGAGAGACAGAAGGGGCCTCCTCTGCCCGATATGGTCTTTCAGAGCCCGTGGTACCCATGGCATCAGGGCAGTCTGCGGGCATCACCACCTGTTCTACCCGTGGGAAACAAGACCCCAGCGGCTTCCGGTCCATTAGGTCCGGTACAACGTGCTCGCAAGGTCGGAGAGGTCAGGGAGCAGAAGCTCCGCCTGTCCCCAAGGCTGGCTTGCAGGACCACATCCCAGGCGCGCCCGCGGGTCCATCCCGGGAGCGGCCGCGCTCCCGGTCCGAGCCTTCCCCGCGTGGGCGCTGGGGGGCGCGGAGCTCCGTGCAGCTACCCGAAAGCATCCTTGTCACCCCGCCTCCCGGGCGCTGCCTGGAAGCCTTTTTCCAGCCTCTGTTTCGTGGGCACGGGTGAGGGGTCGGGGGTCGAGGGTCGGACGGAGGAGTTCGTCGCAGACCAGGCCCCCAGGGTACCCCGCTCCGCTGCGGCGCCGCGCCGCGTCGAGGCAGCTCTGCGTGCCGTACGCCGCGTCCCGGCCGCGCCCGCCGCCATTCAGCTTCCCGGGCCCGTCGGCAGCGCCGGTGCGGGGCTCCGCGCGGCGCACAAAGGCTGGGGTGCGGCGCGGCCGCGGCGGCAGGCACAGCAGCCGCGGTGGCCCCCCCTGGGCCTTCCAGACCCGGAGCGGCGGCCGGGGTCGCTTTCGCACCGGCGCTCCCCGCTACCGAGCAGGTAAGTGGGAAGCCAGAGTCTAGGGGTCTTCGGTAGCAGCTTGGGCTCGGGGTGGGGTGCTGGGGGAGGGAGGGTCAGATGCTGCGGCCAGAGCCGAGTTTAGGGGTGTGTGTGTGGGCGGGTGTGGGGGGGGGACGACGAGGGGGGGGGACTGGACAATGCTGGCTGGCGGCTGAGGTCTGGGCGGAAGCCCCTACTTGCCAGGAGATTCTCTGCATCCCGTTGGCAGGCGTGGCAGGGAGGGCCAGGGACTCGAAAATCCCATAGGGGGGCTCCCCACACCCCCCACCCGCTCAGGTCCGACCGGATTGCTTGGCTGGTGGGGCTTCTAGTGCATTCTAGGGCTCTTTTTGGCACTGGCAGCAACTCCCTAGTTTGGGGACCCTTCCTTGCCTCCCTAGAAGCGGAGCCTCCATCTTCTCCCCAGCCCCTTTCCTTTATAAGGAGACCCAGAGGGGAATATTACTCAGTTAAAAATTCCACACCCCATCGGCCCCTGGACAACTCGGGGGGATGCTGGGAGCCCAGCAAGGACCTGTGCGTGGGCTGGCCCTTCCCTTTCGCATGCACAGCCTGGCATGGTGCTGAGATTCACGGGGACGTGTCATGGGCTGCAAGCCTCCATGTATCAAGATGCTGAGGAGAACTTTGCTTTCCTGGTGGGTGCCCCACAGGAGGGGCCAGTCTTGCCTTATCTCACCAGGGGGCAGGACCTTTGCCCGAGCCGGCCAGTCTTACCTTCTCTAGCACTGCCGAAACAAGACTTCCAATTTCTTGAGATCTATTCTAATATACCTTCATAGGCGCTAGACTGTTATTTGTGGATCCGTCTCAACTCACAATGGGCAGTGAAGTCCTTGAAACCATGTACCCAGCTAATTTGTCTCAAGTTTCTTCAGTTCCCTCTGTCTTTTGGGGGGCATTTACTTTTTTCCTCTTGGAGAAAGGACAGTGGTTTTAGGGCTGATGCAGGACAACTTTCCCTGAGTGACAAACTTGAAGTACCTTTTGCAGATGCCCAGAGCTAGCAGGTGGCTGTCTCTCAGGCCTCTGGGTTAGTTTTCCCACTTACCAGGTGAGACAGGAGCGGCATATCTTCAGTCACCACACAGCTCAAAAGTCTCTGGCTTTCTTGTTCCTTGGGACCTTCACATACTTCTTTTATTCCAGGCCTGAGTCAAAACAGATTCCCTGAGCCAAGAGTCACTTACTGGTCAGGAGTCTAATGAAATTTGCTGGTGGTACTGCGGGCAGGACTCAGGATATAGTAGGTAGATTTGAGCTCATGGTTCTTGGCTTGTGCTGGTAGTTCCCCTCAACAGCAACCCCCCTCCCACCACCACACCCAGCACTGAAGGGGGAGCCCCTGGAGTGGTTTCTAGAACTGGCTGTGTCTGAGTGATGGTAGAGTATTCAAAGGGCCTTGTTGTGGAAGCCTCTCTCTCTGGAACTCTGGTCATTTGTTAGGGAACTTGACTGCCCCTCCCCCACAGTCTCCTTAATAACCCTGGGGCACCCGCTTCTTGCATTTGGGCGGTATGCAGCCTGTATGTGTGATCAGGAGGAGTATGTGTATGGGTCAGGTGTGAGGGTATGGGGAGGGGGCAGTATGAGGAGGAGGGGGAGCTTGAGAGGGTCATCTTAGCTTTCCTGTACAGCCCAGGCTGCAGGGGTGGCATGTCACCTTGTTTGCACGACTGTCTCTTGATTAGGTCTAACCCTTTAAAAATAAAATATTAGTTTCACAGGAATGATTGGTGAGGATGAATTGTGAAACTGAGAAACATAAGTATTTAATTTCCTAAGCTAAGCTAAGAAGTGCTAGGTAAAAAATAAAAAAGATAATTGTAAAAGACACTAGTCACACCCTAGAAAGTTGAGAGGGAGTGCTAAAACACCTTGATTTTTCCTAGACGAAAGCTGAGGAACTCAGAGGGAAAATATGTTTGATGCAGTTGGAATCAGGCTGGGCCTTGTTTAGATTGGACAGCTGTGAGACCTGTCAGAGGAGGGCACTTGAGGAGTAGAACCTAGAAAGTAGAGCCCATTTCGTGCTCATCTTCCTGTCCAGAGAGTGGGCTTGCACACCTGCCCTGGAGACACAACAGCTGAGGACTTCTGGTGGCTCTGTCTGGAGTCTTGGAGAGATGACACTGGGCATTCCAGAACAAGTGGCAGAAATCAATATGTCCTGCCATGTAACCTAGTCTTTAGATAAATGGAGGCAGCTTTGGGCTTGGTGTCACCACTGTTTACACTGGTGCCACCACTCTTGTGAATGTGTCCTTACTATATTGCCTCTAGGTCTTCAACTGTAAAGGACAGCAGTTGTCCTGTCTTTGCTCTATGGCTGAGGGGTAAGATATTTGTAGTCCCTGTTAGGAAAGGATGCAGCTACTCACTGTCATGAAGGCATCTACTTAGATCACACTAAGATGATTCTTACTAATCATCTTGGAATTAGCCATTGAAAATCCTGTGGATAGCATTGGGACATTGTCAGATACTGAATACCTTATGGACAGAAGCAAAACATCAGAGATAGTGGCCAAAGGCTTCTCAGGTTGGAAGGCACTCAAAGAGCAGCCTTCTCAAAGTAGAGTCGATCATAATGGTGTTGATGGAGTAAAGCCTGCAGACTTTTATTTGCTGATGGGGCATGACTCAAAATGAGAAACAACGTCTTCAAACATCAATTAATTATTGGAATTGTGAATGTAAGAAATAAGATTCTAGGAAAATTGTAAGTTGTAAAAAATGAAATAGAACACATAAAGGTCAATATTCTAGGTATTAGTGAGCTGAAATTGCTATTGGGCATTTTCAATCAGAAAATTTTATGGCTTATTATGCTTGGAATGAAAGATTCAAGAGGAATCTGAGAAGAGAAGAGATGCTGGAGAACTTAATATCAGCAGCTAAAACTAGGCCAGGAGCCAACAGTGGAGCACACCATCAGTTGCTCATACGGAAGTTCAGGTTGAAGATGAAGAAAATGAAAACAAGTCCACGAGAGCCAAAATACAACCTTGAGTCTATCCCACCTGAATTTCGAGAATAGATTTGATGTATTGAAAACGAATGACCTGATGAGCTGTGGAAGGACATGAAAAATATCATTCATGAAGAAATCAGGTCATTTAAAAAACAAAGTAAAGATCAACGTGGATGTCAAAAGAGACTCTAAACTTGCTTTTATTTGAAGAGTAGCTGAAGCAAATAGGAGAAACGAAGTCAAAGAGCTGAAAAGAAAATGTCAAAGGGCAGCTTGAGAAGGCAAAGTGAAATATTACAATGAAATATACCAAGAGTTCGGCAACCAATAAAGAACATAGTCACGTCAAACTGAAGGAACTGCAGGGAAAAACCCTCAAGTCATACTTGCAATTGTGAAAGATTCTGTGCGTCAGGACTGACTCGATTGCATCTAACAACAATAATGGGCAAAATATGGAATGATGCAGGAAGCATCAAAAGAAGATGGACATACACAAAGTCAGTTTACCAAAAAGAGCCGGTCAACATTCCACCATTTCAAGAGGTAGTATATGATCAAGACCCAATGGTACCGATGGAAGAAGTCCAGGCTGCGCTTAAAAGCATTAGTCAAAAACAAAGCGCCAGGGATTGATGGAATATTAATTGAAATATTTCAACAAGCTGATTTAGCATTGGAAGCATTCACTCTTCTATGCCAAGAAGTTTGGAAGACAGCTACTTGGCTAACTCATTTCAAAGAAAGGTGACTTAATAGAATACACAAACTATATAGAACAATATTATTGAAATCACATGCAAGTAAAATTGTGCTGAAGTTTATTCAACAATGGATGCAGCACTACATTGACAGAGTTGCCAGAGGTTTGGGCCAGATTTCAGCAGAGGGCATGGAACAAGGGATATCACTGCTGATGTTAAATGGGTCTTGGTTCAAAGCAGCGAATATTAGAAAGATGTTTATTTGTGTTTTATTACTTAAAGGCATTCAAATGTGTGATCAAAGCAAACCATGGTTAACCATGAGAAGAATGGGAATTCCAGAACATTTCATTGTGCTCATATGGAACTTGTACATGGATCACGAGGCAGGATAGTGAGACTTTGCCTCATGTACTTTGGACATTTTATAAGGAGAGACCAATCCTAGGAGAACATTACACTTGGTAAAATAGAAGGGTCCTGGAAAAGAGGAAGACCCTCGATGAGATGGATTGACACAGTGACTGAACAAATGGGTGCAAACACAGTGATTGTGAGAATTCTTGCAGGACTGGATGGTGTTTTATTCTGTTGCACATAGAATCGCTGAGTTGGACCGGACTCATTGACACTTAATAACACCACCACCACCTTTGGTACCTGGTCGGGGCTGCAGTTGTGGGAGTCCCCTGTGATAGTGATTGGTCAGTGTGCCCAGAGGGTGAGTTCTGTCACTTCGCCCTCCCACCATTTTGGGTAGGGTCCAGATCATCTTACTAGGCAGCCTACTGGCACAGGGTAAGCCAGTAATTATGAGTTCCATCTTCTGCCTGTCCTAAAGCCAAGCCTGCCTTCTTCCCACTCATAAAGGAGACCAGGTAGGACATGGCCCTCAAGGTCACACAGTGATACTGTCTCATGTGTTTGTTTTGGAACCCTGTGTGGGGATGGGTGTGTGTGTGTGTGTGGGGAGAGGGCATTACTTCTGTATGAATGATAAACCTGCCTCTGCTGTGGCTGTTTCCCTGATTGTCCACCATCCCTTGGCAGGTTTGTTTCATGCCTAGGTCTGTGTACCTTGCCCTAGCTCTCACTGGTACCTCAGTGCCTGCTTTACAACAGTATTCCTGGGCAAGTCATCAGTTCTGGGAGTCTTTTTCTCAGTCTGTAATGTCTGCTTTATCTTTTGACCTGGTTACTATGTAGCACACACAAGCCACTTTACTGAGCTGCTGGGGGACATTGCTGAGACAGCTTCATGGGGTACCTGTGTGGTCTCAGACTTATGCCTCGTTTTACTA